TATTTTCTTATCTATTACAAGGCCTTTATATAGGCATGAAAAGTGAAGAAAAATATGTCATTGAATATGTCATTAAGCATAGAAATATGTCATTGAATATGTCATTAAGCATTTGAGAAGATCATGGAGGAAGAGTAGACATCCACCATAATTTGATTTTTCTTATAACAGATTTAACTCATTATTACATAAATTTAATAGTTTAGCCGAAAGTTATACTTTTTGGTCAAATAATGTACCCATTATTTTCCACCAGTATAAGTATGAGATAACTGGGTCTATCTAGTGAGAAATATTTTTTCTTTACTATTTCAGAAAAATCATATACGTACTTTTGAAAGTATTTGGCCTAATAAGCAAATAAACATCCATACTTAGACGAGATTCTATTATGTTCCTCCAATTCCATGAGTTTCATTCAAGCATCTAAACATGTTCATAACCTGAATCCACTGAAGATATTGTTATCAAGAGAACAAGTAAAATATAGACATGCTTTTGGTTTGCCGCTCTTTCTGGTCATTCTATAGAGGGACAATCTATATATATAGAGAGAGTAGCGGAGCCAGAATTTTCATTAAGGGAGTCAAAACATAAAGAAATAAACTCATCAAGAAATCAAGGGGTGTCATTATATAGTATATATATATTATTATTATTTTTAAAAAATTACCTAGTTATACAGTGTAATTTTCCGACGAAGAGGTGTCAACCGACACCCCCTTTTGGTGTAGATAAATCCTAATCTATGATAGGATTTATCTATTTTCTCAGTTTTTTAAAAGAGTTTTGCTATTTATCTTTTTTCGTGTTTTTTAGCTTTTGCTCTATTTTTCCCAGTTATTATGTTTTCAATTATGATTTTCGATAACATACATAGGTGAAGCTATACCTTTTTAAGTCTTCTACTTTATCCTCTTTTTTCTTTTAACTCCATGATTTGCAAAAGCCATCAACGGGATCAATTAGCATGTTCAATCTTATTTCGTTCCTTCTTTCCTCTTCTCCTTCTTTCGTGTTTTCTCTTTTCTTTCCTTATTTTTCGTTTCTTTTGTTTTTCCTCCTTATTTTTTTTTAATTTTTCTTTCTTTGTGCAAAGTACGTTCCCTTGCTCTTTCATGGTATAGTATATTAGTATGGTTCTTCTCTATTAGTATTTTTTTTCCTTCTCTATTTCTTTCGTTCTCTTTTTCCCATCAATATTTTTAAGCAACCAGACAAATCCCAATATTTCTCTTACTATTTTTTTTTTGTAAAATTCCAAATCATCTTCTTTCTTTTGTTATATAAATTTTTTTACCATCTTGAAATGTCCATCACCCTTTTTCTATAAATTTAGTAAAGAGTTTGTAGTACTTTTTGATTTTTTTCTCTACTTAGTTCGTCAACTTCCAATAAAAGATAAGGTCCAATTTTTCCCTCATTCGTATTTGCATTTGCTTGGTGATGTCTCTAAAGTAAAATACTCTTATCCAAGTATTCCATTATTTGAGAAAAAAATATATGCTAAAAAGCTTCAAAAGAACTACTTAATTCAAGCAAGAATCTCATATCCTGCACTAACAACCCATATTCTCGTGAATTGATATGGACTGTAGGACTCCACATTCTCATGAGTGAATTATCATTTGCTCCTTATATTCTTCTGCAATATAAAAGTTTGTCCCTTCTACCCAACAACAAAAGAAGGATTATAAGGCAATCTCTATATTTATTAACCTTCGTTAGTTGATTGCAACACCCTAAATACAAATATTAGCAGTTCTCCGTAGTACGAAAAGATAAGTTAAAAGAATAGAAAATAAGAATTAAAATAAACAATCTTCTCAACTAAGTATGCATTCCACCTAATATGTTTAAGAAATATTCTTAACTATTTCAAACTTTAATTTTCTCTTGCCTTTTTGTAAGACCAGCTTCACTCCAATTTAGTGAAGGCGTTCGGTGCAGATATTTGTTGAAAATATCCCAAGACTTTTCAGCATAACGATTGCATATATTTTGTTAAGGATATATATCGTTCGATTCTTATAGCACAACATTACCATGTATAGGGGCGGACACAGGATTTGGGTGCTCCGGGTGCCAAGCTAATCGTTTTGATCAACTCGGGCGTCGGTTCGGATTATTTTTTTTTTTTTTATATAGACAAATCGATCAAACGAAAAAAATATAATAACTATAACTAATTGATGCAACCATAAAACTTCCAACAATAATATTAATATTATATATATACATCATCTATTTACAATTGTTCTCGACGAGTTTTCATATTTTGAAAACGATCCATAATGACATCAATAAGTTTAGCCAACGAAAATTACTCAACTTTCCCTAATATTTTTTGTTGTTAAAATGGAGTTAATTTTGAATTTTTCTTGGTCAAAATTATTGGGGATGTTTTTTCTCTTTTAGCCAAGAAATTAATTTTTACAATGAAACCATTTAAGTGGCATAGGATTTTCTAAATACAAAAAAAAAAAAAAAGCAGAGCAAGAACATATATTTAATGGTAAAAAAATATAACCACAACCCACATAGGGTTAAAAAATAAACAAGAGGAAGTGAGAAAGCTTTACAATGGTGGCTGTAGAGCAGTAACCAGTGAGCAAGCTGGAAGCAGCAGAGGTGAAGCAGAAGAAGTGCAAAACATCGTGAAGCAGAACTGCAGAAGCCAAAGGAGAAGCGATGAGCAAAGTGGGGGAAGGGTATAATTTTTGGGAAAGGGAAAAGTGACAGAAAGAGCTTTCTAGGAGTATTATTATTATTATTTTAAATAGAAGGAGCCAAAAAACTTATTGCCGGCTGGATTCGAACCCAGAACCAGTGGAAGTAAAAGATGGATGTTTGTCACTAGTACCTTGGCCACTTTTCTTATGCGGGTGGCACTTTAAATATATATATACTATTTCTTATACATGTATACATAAAATTTTTGTCGAAACTTACGGGTGAAAAAATATCCTGAACCATATACATAGATCCGCCCCTGACCATGTAGCTTTTAGTGTCCTCGGAATTTGGGAAAACATGTCATACCATGCTTGTTATGATCCGTAGTTATTCAAAAAACCTTTAGAATAAAAGCATAATAGATTAAATGCAAAAACTGATAGAACACTATTATTGTTAATGGTGCAGAACTCATGGATAGCAAGAAATACCTAAAAATCAGAACAAAGAAAATTCTTGTCAATTTTCTTCTTTCCCTTGTGAAAGTTAGTGGCTTACTGAATTGGCTTCGAACGTTTGATCCGATGAGTATAGAGGTATCCAAGCAACAGAGAGAATAAGGAAGGAAGTCAAATTAGTAAGAATGTAAAAGCAAAAATAAATAAATAAATAAATAAACAGTTTGTAGTTTATGTAGTCCTTCCAATTATAGTCAGGGGCGGATCCAGGATTTGGGGGCTCCAGGTGCCAAGCTAATCGTTTTGATCAACTCGGGCGTCGGTTCAGATTATTTTTTTTTTTATTTATATAGACAAATCGATCAAACGAAAAAAATATAATAACTATAACTAATTGATGCAACCATAAAACTTTCAACAATAATATAAATATTATATATATACACCATCTATTTACAATTGTCCTCGACGAGTTTTCATATTTAGAAAACGATCCATAATGACATCAATAAGTTTAGCCAATGAAAATTACTCAACTTTCCCTAATACTTTTTATTGTTAAAATGGAGTTAATTTTGAATTTTTCTTGGTCAAAATTATTGGGGATATTTTTTCTCTTTTAGCCAAGAAATTAATTTCTACAATGAAACCATTTAAGTGGCATAGAATTTTCAACAAAATCAAAGAAATGCATAACAAATAATTCAGAAGTGACAATACAGTTTAGCAAGAACATTAAAATCTAACTAAATACAAAAAAAAGCAGAGCAAGAACATATATTTAATGGAGAAAAAAAATAACCACAACCACATAGGGTTAAAAAATAAACAAGAGGAAGTGAGGAAGCTTTACAATGGTGGCTGTAGAGCAGTGGCCAGTGAGCAAGCTGGAAGCAGCAGAGGTGAAGCAGAAGAAGTGCAAAAAAATCGTGAAGCAGAACCGCAGAAGCCAAAGGAGAAGCGATGAGCAAAGTGGGGGAAGGGTTGGTGGAAACTTGGGATTTGTTTTGCTAGAGTATAATTTTTGGGAAAGGGAAAAGAGGCAGAAGGAGCTTTCTAGGAGTATTATTATTATTATTTTAAATAAAAGGAGCCAAAAAACTAATTGCCTCCGGCTGGATTCGAACCCACAACCAGTAGAAGTAAAAGATGGATGTTTGCCATTGGCACCTTGGCCACTTTTCATCTGTGGGTAGCACTTTAAATATATATACTATTTCTTATACATATATACATGAAATATTTGCCGAAACCTATGGGTGAGAAAACACCCTAACCATATACATAGATCCGCCCCTGACCATGTCGCTTTTAGTGTCCTCGGGATTTGGGAAAACATGCCCTTCCATGCTAGTTATGATCCGTAGTTATTCCAATAACCTTTAGAATAAAAGCATAATAGATTAAATGCAAAAACTGATAGAACATGATTATTGTTAATGGTGCAGAACTCATGGATAGCAAGAAATACCTAAAAATCAGAATAGAGAAAATTCTTGTCAATTTTTTTCCTTCCCTTGTGAAAGTTAGTGGCTTACTGAATTGGCTTCGAACGTTTGATCCGATTAGTATAGAGGTATCCAAGTAACAAAGAAAATAGGGAAGGAAGTCAAATTAGTAAGAGTGTAAAAGCAAAAATAAATAAATAAACAGTTTGTGGTTTGTGTAGTCCTTCCAATTGTAGTCAGGGGCGGATCCAGAATTTGGCGGCTCCAGGTGCCAATCTAATCGTTTTGATCAACTCGGGCATCGGTTCGAATTATTTTTTTTTTATTTATATAGACAAATCGATCAAACGAAAAAAATATAATAACTATAACTAATTAATGCAACCATAAAACTTCCAGCAATAATATTAATATTATATCTATACATCATCTATTTACAATTGTGCTCGACGAGTTTTCATATTTTGAAAACGATCCATAATGACATCAATAAGTTTAGCCAACGAAAATTACTCAACTTTCCCTAATACTTTTTATTGTTAAAATGGAGTTAATTTTGAATTTTTCTTGGTCAAAATTATCGGGGATGCTTTTTCTCTTTTAGCCAAGAAATTAATTTCTACAATGAAACCATTTAAGTGGCATAGGATTTTCAACAAAATCAAAAAAATGCATAACAAATAATTCAGAAGTGACAATACAATTTAGCAAGAATATTAAAATCCAACTAAATACAAAAAAAGAAGAGCAAGAACATATATTTAATGGAGAGAAAAAAAATAACCACAGCCTACATAGGGTTAAAAAATAAACAAGGGGAAGTGAGGAAGCTTTACAATGGTGGCTGTAGAGTAGTGGCCAGTGAGCAAGCTTGAAGCAGCAGAGGTGAAGCAGAAGAAATGCAAAAAATCGTGAAGCAGAACTGCAGAAACCAAAGGAGAAGCGATGAGCAAAGTGGGGGAAGGGTTGGTGGGAACTTGGGATTTGTTTTGCTAGAGTATAATTTTTGGGAAAGGGGAAAGTGGCGCCAAAGCAACTTCGTCACTTTCGTGTACCCATCACACGGCAGCCCTTTCGGAGGTTCCTTAGGGACCTTCTTATGTCTGTCAACAAGAGTCCAGCCCCTGGTTCAATCGATAGATAAGCCGAAAACATATTTCTGGACAAATGAACAGACTTTTTCTTACTTGACTTGCCAACAAAGCGCAAGCTCCACGTACGGTTTTGAAGCCGAGCCTTTCCAGCAATGGGGCCTAGGGACTGATATGATGGTTGGTTTAGGTAGGGCGGCCGGCCTACTACGGGCACCTGTAAGGATTAGTGTGTGAGACCGCAGAAGGAGCTTTTTAGGAGTATTATTATTATTATTTTAAATAGAAGGAGCCAAAAAACTAATTGCCTCCGGCTGGATTCGAACCCACAACCAGTAGAATTAAAAGATGGATGTTTGCCACTGGCACCTTGGCCACTTTTCTTATGCGCATGACATTTTAAATATATAAACTATTTCTTATACATATATACATGTATACATAAAAAAATTTGCCGAAACTTACGGGTGGGAAAACACTCTGAACCATATACTTAGATACGCCCCTGACCATGTAGCTTGTAGTGTCCTCGGGATTTGGGAAAACATGCCCTTCCATACTTGTTATGATCCGTAGTTATTCCAAAAACCTTTAGAATAAAAGCATAATAGATTAAATGCAAAAACTGATAGAACATGATTACTGTTAACGGTGCAGAACTCATGGATAGCAAGAAATACCTAAAAATCAGAACAGAGAAAATTCTTGTCAATTTTCTTCTTTCCCTTGTGAAAGTTAGTGGCTTACTGAATTGGCTTCGAACGTTTGATCTGATGAGTATAGAGGTATCCAAGCAACAAAGAAAATAGGGAAGGAAGTCAAATTAGTAAGAATGTAAAAGCAAAAAGAAATAACTAAACAGTTTGTAGTTTATGTAGTCCTTCCAATTGTAGTCAGGGGCGGATCCAGGATTTGGGGGCTACGGGTGCCAAGCTAATCGTTTTGATCAACTCGGGCGTCGATTTGGATTATTTCTTTTTTATTTATATAGACAAATCGATCAAACGAAAAAAATATAATAACTATAACTAATTGATGCAACCATAAAACTTCCAACAATAATATTAATATTATATATATACATCATCTATTTACAATTATCCTCGACGAGTTTTCATATTTTGAAAATGATCCATAATGACATCAATAAGTTTAGCCAACAAAAATTACTCAACTTTCCCTAATACTTTTTATTGTTAAAATGGAGTTAATTTTGAATTTTTCTTGGTCAAAATTATTGGGAATGCTTTTTCTCTTTTAGCCAAGAAATTAATTTCTACAATAAAACCATTTAAGTGGCATAGGATTTTCAACAAAACCAAAAAAATGCATAACAAATAATTCAGAAGTGACAATACAGTTTAGCAAGAACATTAAAATCCAACTAAATACAAAAAAAAGTAGAGCAAGAACATATATTTAATGGAGAAAAAAAATAACCACAACCCACATAGGGTTAAAAAATAAACAAGAGGAAGTGAGGAAGCTTTACAATGGTGGTTGTAGAGCAGTGGCCTGTGAGCAAGCTTGAAGCAGCAGAGGTAGGGGTGGGCATAATACCGACCGAATTGAAAAAACCGACCGAACCGTAAACTTCGGTTTTTTCGTTTTTAGTTTTTTGACTTATTCGGTCGGTTTGCAGTTTATATTTTTTATAATTTTGGTGTTCGGTTCGATTTCGGTTTTACAAGTTCAGTTTTCGGTTAAACCGAAAAACTGAAGTTTTCATAAAGGACATAGTTTTCTCGAGAATGTCTGTCCGCTTTCAAACAAATGTAGTAAATTCAGAATGGTCTACTAAGACCTTTAAATGAAAACTCATGCAGCATTCTTCATTGAATCATTGCACATTAGAATAAACTAAGTTGAGATAGTTTACTTCAAAATATATGTTCTTTTAAAATAACACAAAGCTGCTGAACATTTATCTAAGGGGGAACACTGCGAAGACACAAAATAAAAATTATACAAATGTACTATCATATCCAGATCTTTACCGGAATCATGCATGGTCACGGTACATCGTGTCAACAGGGAGGAATTAAAATTATTTCTACGACCAGACTCTGTTTCGAACATCAAATGAAGGCTATTATAGTTGGATGTAACTTTCTCGTTATATTGGAAAGCACTTGATATAATTTGTTCAAAACCGACCGAATTGAACCGAAAATCGACCGAACAGAATTAGCAAAAACTGAAAAAACCAAACTAATTTTGGTTCGGTTATTGGTGCACCAAATAGAAAATCGAAAACCGAACAAATCGAACCGAACTTCATAAAAACCGAACCGAACCGGCTGACGCCCACCCCTAAGCAGAGGTGAAGCAGAAGAAGTGCAAAAAATCATGAAGCAGAACTGCAGAAGCCAAATGAGAAGCGATGGGGAAGGGTTGGTGGAAACTTGGGCCAAATGAGAAGCGATGGGGAAGGGTTGGTGGAAACTTGGGATTTGTTTTGCTAGAAGTAAAAGATGGATGTTTGCCACTGGCATCTTGATCACTTTTCTTCTGTGGGTGACACTTTATATATATATACTATTTCTTATACATATATATATGTATAAATAAAAAATTTATCGAAATTTGCGGGTGGCGTACCACCCCTAACCATTTACATAGATCCACCCCTAATTGTAGTTTGTTTAATTTATCGTCTTTCCATACC